ATCATGTACAGCCTCAACACGGAGCAGCACAGCAACAACGCCAATGCAATCGCCATCCCGGCCTTCAGTCCCGTGTTCGCCATGCCTCGGCGTGTAGGCGAGATGGTTAGCGAGAACGGAGGTCGCTCCACTGATGTTTTAAAGGCATCGAGAGCTTTGCGTTCCTCAGGTTGTGAAGTTTCAGACTGATTGTTCCTCAATGTAGAGATCCACAGTCCGGGAGATGGAGGCTGTTGCGAGTTGGTTGCAACTGGGTAGAACATGTCCACCGATCCCGGACTTGGTTGGTGTTGCACCATGGGGGAAGACATGCCCATACTGGCCATCACCACCATGTTCTTCATCGATTGACCTCTCTGAATGTTGGTCGTGGAGGTGTCTTGCATCCACGCATGTGTGGCTGGAGATAGCGGTGGAAAACCCGCATAGGAACCGAAATACGGTTGGTTTCCCAATGGAAACACGGGCATGTTGGAGTCCAGTGTGTAGCCAGTATTACTGGTACTGACGTTAGTGGCACAGATCCCGCTTCTCCTAGCACCACTGGAAGGCGGCGAGCGATACTGCTGGCAGTTGTAGAAAACGTCTTTGAGGCCTTGATCTCCACCGTTTCGTGGCAAATCCAGCGGTTCCAGGAGCAGCGAGTTGGTGCTGGAAGGCGGTTTGTTGCCACCAGCCTCCGCTTCCTTCTTGAAGCTGTTCAAGTCTGGGAAATCCTGGTCGTTGAGCATTTGCCCAAACATGTCGTCCTCATGGAGCCGCGCGAACAGCGGAGTGTCCTCGGACGGAGGCTGGAACGGCGCCTGGATTTGAGTAAGCGCGATGCCGCCGCCCAGCAGCGAGTTCGGTGGAGGGGGCACGAAATTGCCGCTGCTTGGAGGCGTTGGCACTAGGGCGCGCTCTGCCGTGAGCGCCTTGACTCTGCCGCAGGAAGGAAGCGGCATCGAGGACGGGAAGAGACTCGAGCTAGCAACGGCCGATCGCATCTCGGGCGCGAATAGCGATTCTACAAATGCCACCTCGTCCATGGGCGGAAAAGTAGGGGGCAGCGGCGCAAACCTTCTTCGTAGGATGGACTGGCAGTTATGGCTTGAAGTTGCCGTGAAAAAGCAAAAAAGGCTACATCCAGTATAGCGTGTTAGTATGGCAAATGAGTGAGGTATGAGAAAAACGGAATCAAAAAGCTACCTGATTTTCGTTTGCAAAAGTCCGCCGGGAGAGAGAAAAAGTGAGCCCTTCCTTGGTTGGAGGTCGCCCGCAGCTCAATGTGTCGGCGGTTAAATGCGCTGGAAGAAAACGTCCTGTGCTGTATGTAGAGGAAGGAAGGCACTACTGCAGACTGAGCTCGCTCTTGTTCTGGCAGCGTTGGAGAAGTGAGAATTGCGCCGCAACTGGCTGAAAATGGCAAGAAGGAACCAGAACATCGATCCATCTGGCAGGAGGCACATGGCAAGCGGAAACAGCTACGACTATTTGATGGGCGCGGATGCAAGAGCAGCAGGCGATCAGCTCAGCGGAGAAGAAGACAGCGATGCCTTGGATGCAACATGCCACTTCGATGGCATTCGGCGCATTTGGAGGGCGGCAGATGCGATTCAAATCCTTTCCCTTGCACGTCGGATCCTACAGGGGCGTTGCGAAACTTGCGCGGTAGCACTACTTTGGGTCTCCGTCACATGCAGCAAAAGGAATGGTCTCCATGTTGGCCAGTGGGCCTGACCATGGCTTCGCCAGCTGGTGCGCTCTCCGACATATGCATTAAGTCGCCAGGATTTCTGAACATCGCCAGCCTGACGACCACCTGAATCGCAGTGTTTACCAGACAAGCATCGACTGTGGTTCCTTGCAAGTTGCAACGCATTATTGATGTCGAGCTTGCATGTTACCAGTAACCATAATGCTGGCTTGTTAAAGTAAGATCTGGATCGGATCGACTACCTTAGTTGTGAAGCTTCGTACTGCAATTTTCGGATCCAACGGCACTTCGTCATCTTCGAAGCAGTTACAGTGCATTTTTTTTTTTTTTTTTGAGACGATCAAACTTTGAGTCAAAGGCCTTGATTCATCTTTCCTGATTCAAGGACAGGCTATGGTTTTATAGCTGCCTGTCCCGGACTGGCAGCATACATGACTCATGTAACCTGAGACCTTTCGCAGGTTCTGCGGCGATCAATGATTCCTTGAACACGATGAAGGAGACCCTCTAGTTATTTTTCATACGGAGTCTACAGCTACTAGCAACTCGATTCGCACTCAGTCACCGCGCGTTTGATTAAATTGATTCTTGGTCGACGTTGTCAAAGGCAACACTGTGCAGCAGAATGCAACACTGCCGCTAAGGGTAGACTGATGACACGAGCAACCGCTGCTCACTGCCGGGAGATGATCCTTTCCACCCTGCTTACTCGAGAGGGGATAACTTCTAGCACTAGGACGTGCTTCAAGAATCTCGGGGTGGGATCGATCTATGCCGAAAGGCTCAGTAATATGGACAACGTAGCATTTATAGGTGTTACCGTTCGTGTACCTCTCTACAAGAGGCTCTCACTAGCCTTTCAGCGAGTCGGCTAATGTAGCGCAGCACTAAGTTACTGCCAGTAACCGCGTGGGAGAGATTGTATATCATCTTGGTGAGACCGATGCAACACGTAATGAGTCACGCCGGACTTGGCTCGAAGGCCGGTCCTATGATCTTTTCTTCGCAGACGTGCCCTTCAGCTCAGGACATGGCCGCGGAGCGATCATAACCGACGCAATTAACGTTTCATGAAGCCTTGGTTGCGACGGCAGTGAATTATCAAGGGGGGTCACCGTGTCTTCTAAGTGACAGACACGTGGGGGAATAGCAATCAATAATCGCGATTGCCATCCGCGACGCATCTTGTGCTTGTACGCCACCGACTTCGACTTCACAATTCGGGAATTCACTCATTGCTGACCCGGCCCAGCGCCAGTTTTCCATCAAGCAAGCTGGTGACAGGGGCACGAACATAGTGTCGGCAGGATCCAGCCACGACAACCTGGCAGGAATTAGCTGCCGACCGGAGCCCCGTTTGTTGACGTGGGTCCGCAGCCATGCCCGCGGATATTTTTACTTTTTCATCTTAGTGAACAACATCTCAGTTCTAGTTTGACTTTTTTCTTGCTGGCCTTCGACACATGCCAAAGCAAAAACCAGTGCTGCCAAACTTGGAAACTTGAACTAATTTTTGCATCGGTCCTTTCCGTTGCACTTCATCGCGTAGGTAATGCCACGATGCAACTCCACTTGTTGACCCTTCAACTAAAAGCGGCAAAGCACGTCATGTTGCATGTAAGTTTCGCCAATGTGCTGTGCTGCATCGAGTGCAACAGCGTTTTGCATCGCTCAACTTGCGATGGTCTTCTTCTGGACGCACACTCACCGTAAAAGGAACCGGTCAGCGGCACGCGATGTTCTTTTCTTCTTCAAAGGAAAAATTGGCCTTCCAAACACGATGCGAAAGCCCGGTGTAGCCTTGAGCCGGCCTTCCACATCCAGTGCATCTGCAACTTAATGTGTAAACTTGGTGTCAAGTACAGGATAAGAGCAATAGGCGCGTGGACAGACACCCGTGGCCGTCGCTCCTTTCCCTGCCGTTCGCACTTCGTATCAAGAGCAAATGCCTCGGGATCGCTACTGCTGTGACGAGAGACGACGGCATTTTGAAAATCCCGGCACATTTTTGCATACAAATTTCTAAACCTTTTTTTTTTCCGCGTATTACGACGTTAGGACAATCCAACAACAAAAATCCGCAAACTGTCTGCAAAACCAATTTGCCTCGATGTTTTCGATGATACACTGCTCAACCTCTGCCGTCAGTCGCCTAGACGCCAGTGCGGCACTCAACGGATCATCCCGTCCAGTCGTGTGGGTACCGACGTACAGCATCGTTTGCCTCACTCGCGTCACATGGCGCCGCTAAGCAGGCACTCAGTTGCTTAGTTGCCCCATTTGGCGGTCATTTGTAGATTTCCTACATCTGAACGAAACACATCTGCTTCCAAGTGTAAGCTCGCCGTTCTACTCTCTGAAGCCTATCGCGGACTCGTCCACGTCCGTCTCCGTTTCTTCCCACCTCCCCGTCCTGCAACACTCAGTCAGCTCACCTCGATCGGGCCTTTGCCGACAGGGACCATTTCCAAATCCGGCGAGCGATTAGCACGACAGATTACCAAAGTTCCCCCCCCCCCCACGTTTTGCTGTCTCGATCGCAGCATTCGTACGCCCCACACTTGTGCTTCCCCCCCCCAGCAATGTTTGACCCGCGCCTCTGCTCGCCTGATTCGCCAGTTGACTCCGCCATGTTCCCGCCAGTGTACAACCGCTCCACGTCGTCGTCATCGACGGCCTCCATGTCTTCGTGTCCAGGAGACGCTAGCACGGCTCCGTTGCCAATGAGCAACGACGTTGTCAAACCCATGACACCGAGTATTAAGCAGGAGCTCGAGCCTTTCGAGTTCCGTCCGAATCTGAGCGCGAACCCGACGCCTCGTTCCCAGAATGGCACGTCTCTCAGCTCGGTGTTCGGGGACCAAGACCTCATCGACGCCATCATGTACAGCCTCAACACGGAGCAGCACAGCAACAACGCCAATGCAATCGCCATCCCGGCCTTCAGTCCCGTGTTCGCCATGCCTCGGCGTGTCATCCAACAGGTTCAGATTCCGCAGCCGACGTCCTTTACCGCCTTGATGCAACAGCGGCCAATTGGCGTGCCGATGCCTGACGGTCGAATCAAATCGACCATGGCCGGCCCGTGTCTCCGCAAACCCGGCACGTTCCTCAACAAGGACGGCCGGTGGATCAAGGGCAAGCCTTGCCGAATGGAAGGCTGTGACAAGCGCGCGCAGTCCAACGGGCTGTGCAAGGGGCACGGCGGCGGTGCCCGCTGCAGCTTCGCCGGCTGCAGTAAATCCTCGCAGGGAGGTGGCTTCTGCCGCGCCCACGGCGGCGGCAAGCGGTGTATGCACGAAGGATGCGAGAAGGGCACGCAACGCAATGGCTTTTGCTATCTACACGGCGGTGTACGGTCCTGCAGCGTCGAAGGCTGCGATAAGAAGGACCGTGGCAACGGCAAGTGCTTTTCGCACGGCGGTGGGCGCAAATGCCAGGCTCACATGTGCTTCAACACGATCCGGCGGGGCGCCTTCTGCGACCTGCACAACGGCAAGCTTGCCAAGTGAAGACGAGGACAGCCACGCACATTAAGTTAAAGAGCCCGGAGATTGTTGAGCAAGACGTGGCGTGCTCGATCATATAAACCCCCAATATACATTCTGTACGGTGTCATGGTAATGCCGATTCGATAGAGCAGTCCTACATGTCTTGTCGAGCGTGGGCTGAGGTAGGGCGTCATGTTGCATGTTTGCCTGCCCTACATGCCCTACTGGATTAGCATCCGCTATGTTCGACCAGCGGATCTTGCCGGACAAGAAAATTTTCATAAAGATGTAGACCATCTGGCAAAAGTGCCGCAACCGCGAGCAAACGAGATGTTGTTCACGGCGATCGGCAACTGGCAACTGTACTGCGCAAGAAACTTGAAGCAAAGTGCAGGTGTATCACTGAGTCACTTGTCAGACCATACAAAAACAATTGCAGACACTTGAACGATGCAAATTGCATCGTGAACTTTGTCTTGTCGATTGCAAATCCGGGCGCCAGGACTGCAAGCCCACTGTCTTCACTGACAATGCTTGCACACAGGAAGACTCAGCGGGGGGGGTTGGCGAGTCGTCAATGACGACAACGTCACCTCCCGATGCCGCCAGTGACGGGGCTTGTTGCAGCTCTGCAAAATCCGAGAGGATGGAAGCGTGGGATGTCAGAAATTCACTTCGGACTAAACACGGCGTCGGCAAATTGCAAATTGTCTAAACGCTTTTTAGAGCATTGCTGCTTGCGGGCAAAAAGTTGCCGTTTAAACCACGGCGTCTTTACAGGAGCAAATCGATGCGAGGTGGATTGAGTGTCTAGCCGAACTTGATGTCCGTCATTTCGACCGACACCACGCTTGATGCATGCACACGGTACGAGAATCAAACCAAGAGGCTTAGGCAACTGAACGACGCCCAATGCTGCGCATCCCGACAGCAATCACAGGCAAGTTGCAGTGCAAGCCTGTGAAGCGCAACGCGGAGTGATGGGAGGTGGCTACGCCGCGCGTCATCGATCGATCACCGACCCCAAGCAGAGTTCGCTGCTCGAGTGCATGTTGCAGTGCGTGCCTAATGTCCGCTCCTCTACGTCCCTGAGGGGAGAATGACATCTCGGTGGAGAATTTCTCGCCGGTGGCAGCAGTGAACGTAAGTTAGTGGATTTTCATCAACCGATCGGTTGACTGCCGACAAAGCACGAAGCCTCGAAGCTTCGTCTTCGCCCGCTCAAGACGACGACGGCAATCACCAAGAAGCCGGAAGGGTGTCAAGTCACGAGGGCGGAAGAACGGAGCCTGTCCTTGCCTCTCGCCTGTCGACGTCCACGACGATGTCACGCGGGGGCGCGTAACTTACGCAGCGGTTTGCATAGCCTCAGCCCCGCACATTGAGCTCCAAATCGCGCCTGGATCAAATGCATTGCCTGGAAAACACCAGGCGGGACGCCGTGGGTGCAACCGGAGTCCTCAACGGGCTCTGCTGTTCTAAACAGAGTGGAGTTGCATCGATTCTTAGCGCCAAGAAAATCGTTACTGCATGCACTTTGCTTAAGTTAGTAAAAATAGTGTCACTCATCATGTCCGCGAGGTCACGCTCTGACTGAGCTTGTCCGACATGATCCGGCCGTTTGACAATTGCGAGCCACCGCCTCCTGTAGCTGCACTCTCGTACGAGACCGTCCTATGCACGGAGCTGCCGGCGTTCGACCCGGTGCCGACGTTGCGTTCCGTGCTACTCAAACCCCCACATCTTCAACGGTTCGAATGCTTTCTACGCAAGACGGGATGGCTCACTATGCCCATTTACGCCTGCGGATTGATCCTACGCATCGCCGTGTGCTCCGTGCCGGCTCCTATCGGACGGCTAGTGTCTCCATGGGCGGCAATTCTACACATTCCGCCGTGTATCGTGTTCGCTGCCGGTATTCGCGTTGAATTCGTGAAACTCATTTTATCCGCTTTCGATTTTTGGTTTCCATTTGCTGCCAACACGATGTTTCTCATCGTGTTCAGTTGCGTTTTGCGAGATATGAGAATTTTACTAGTTGTTGCCGTGTGGATTGCCTTTGGATGTTCGTTTTTGCAGGAAACGTACTTTCGAGATTCGCGCAACATTGCCATGTCCGCTTTTGTCGAAGCTTCTTTATTGATTTTGCTTATGGGCAGCATTTCGCTGAACATTATGGACGACTTGCATCACTCGAATTTGCTCATCGCTGGCGGCCACACGTTGTCTACGAAAGATGTTCTTGTTAACGTGATTGGAACGATGGCAACTTTGATGATGCGTACCACGTACAGACGGGTAAAACTCATCAAGCGCCAGAAGCAAATGGAAGGCACTGCAACTCAATCGTTGGGCTACCGATGTTTCATTGCGCTAAACCCTACAGGGCCAGGGGCAACTTCACGCAATAGCGTGGTACCCCATCCGCTAGGTCCACTACTTTTTTTCAACGCACAATCAAAGCTTTCACGAAAGAAAAATAAATCTGAAGAAAGAGTAGGAAGCAGACGATTGTCAAGCTTCGTGTTGCCACCGTTGCAGATACATCTCGTCAAAGATTCTCGACGATATGATCCTCGGGACACACTGTGGAGCTGTGTTGGCTCTATTGAACCTTTACGCAAGTGGCAAGTGGTGGTTTTACAGGTGTGTGGAGTTACAGGGTTCATTCTTACCATTCCCTCGATTTTCGCTCCACTAACTACAGAAACCGAAGTGATGGGGGTCTTGTGTCTTGCTACCACTTCGATATTTTACGCCGTGAGCTTGTTCTGTTGCCAAAGAATTTTATTGAAGCGAGTGGTCTTGTCATTCGACTTTTTATTCCTAATTCTCCAGTTGATGGCGGCACACTTGTGTCTTGCTGACATTTTGTGGTGGCGATGGACTTCTACGTGTGGAGTTGCATCCAGCTATCTCTGGGCAAAATGGAGCTTAAGTATAGACGCGTTGACTCCAACGATGCGCCATCGACTGCGCATAAAGAGTTGGATGCCGACATGTTGTATCGTGCTTTTTATTATCATTCAACTGCTGGTTTCGCTCGACATTTTAGTCTGGGAATATTCGCAGCTCCGTGATCGAGTCTTTTGGAATCTTGATTTTCTCGGTCGCCAGGCTCAATTCCGAGTTGTAACATTTTTGTGGAGTCGAGTAGTTACCATTTTCGTGTGGTACGGCCGTTTGCTATACATTTTGGTCACTCGAACTCACGAGAATACACTCATTATACTGCGAGGCAATGTCGAGTTCGACTACCAAACGTGGAGATTGCAAGCAAACATCGCTCGCGAAGTCCGGAGAATGGCAAAGTTTGCCAAAGCTGCACAAGCCTCAAAAGCGATAGTGGACGCGATCCCCGAGTAGCAATTTCGAGAACTTATTTTGCAATGTTAAGTAATTTATTAAAGTTAGTATGCCGCCTGGAAGTACTACCATATTTTACCACGACAGCACGTTTTATTTTCAACTTTCATAGTCGAATTCAAACGTTAAAACTATCGCGTTGCCCTTGTGACGAGAAAAAAATACTTTTGTGGGTCCCTTCTTGCGTTGTGATTTGCAGTGTGGTTTAACCTACACCATATTAACAGTGGATGCATTGACCCCTATCATGAAGCAGCGACTTCGGTTCAATACTGGATGGTCGTTAGCGGGATATATTTTTTGGCTGGTTCATGCTATAATGCTCCTTGTCAAATTTTTGGTTCCCTTTGACTTGCAAGATCGAGTGTGTTCGTCGTTCTGGTCTCAATTTCATGAAACTTCAGTCGAATTTTCTACTAGCGCTATCAGATTTTGGGACAAGTAATGCTTGTATGACTGTTTTGGTGGGGCATATGTACTTCGAAGTATCGGATAATGCCGTTGTCAATTGTAGTACCTTAAGCTGCCAATTCTGTCTTGTATTTGTATTCCAGTCGGAGCTTCCGGGTTTGACTTGGCATTTAACATGGTCATACATGTAGTTCCAGGAGCATTCGGCAGTTTGTCTTTCATTGAAAGCGAATGACCTCGAGCAGTGAACAACCTATAATAGTGTATATCGTCAACAAGTTCCACAGACAACATCGCCACTAATATGAGAGAAGAAATCATCCCATAACGAAATTATCATCATAAGTAAATATTTCACAGATGGGTTTCTTGGAATAACGAGTTGAATAAATACGAACCACAATTGCTATTTAGAACCGCGCTCAGTATGATAGCTCATGCAGTATTGGAAGCTTGTAGAAACCAACAACCGAGCGATGATCTTGGCGTAACCTCACCATACCGAAGATTTGAATTTACGTTAAATTGTTTGACGGAATTGGGGCTGATGATCCGAGCGATGGTAGACAGTGGCCACACACGATAACCTGGTAATTAGATCATTAACCAAATCGACTACAGCGTTGTTATATGTGAATGATGCGGGGAAAGAAACTAGCTAATGCTCGATGGGAGTGCTTATCGGAATGACCTATCAATAAGTTTAAAACAGCAGCTATCATCAGAACTAGAGCTATCTATCTTTATTTCCTTACAACTGAGTGGCCCTTTGCCATGCCGAGGGTGGCTCATGCCACTGATGACAAAGAGAATACTTCGCTTGACGATGTGTGCTACCAGATCGTCGCGTGGAATTATAATTTGCCTGCGTTTGACCCTGTCCCCATGATCAAGACAGCCGTGCTAAGCCCAAGTTCTGTCAAGAAATTTAATCGCTTTCTCATCGCCATCAGGCCCTATATTGGACCGATTACTTGTATTGGGTTGGCGATACGCTTTGCCGCATTTGCAGCACCGGCTAATGTGGGGAGAGTCCTCGCTCCAATCTCGGTATTTCTGCATTTGATCGGTTTGATCACGACGAGTGCTCAGCTTCGAACCGAATACATAAAAATTATCCTACGCACATTCGACTTTTGGTTCCTCCAGGCAGCAAATACGATTTGGGTGATTGTCATGAGTGCAACTATGAACGACCTTCGAGTGGTTCTTGTAATTTTTTGCTGGGCGGACTTTACTGGCTGGCTCCTTCAAGAAACGTATCTCCGTAATTCTAACGCTGTGGTTGCTGTCGCTCTATTCGAGTGGGTATTCTACGTGCTGCTGATGGTTCAAATCGTGCTGGATCTCGTGGATGAAATTCATCATTACGCGTTGATCACTGCTTGCGGCCGTACACTTTCCACCAAAGATGTGCTAGTAAATGTGATCGGAACCATGACAATGCTATCACTAAGGAACTTATGGCGACGGTATCAATTGATGAAACGCCATAAACCCGGTACAGCCATGAAAGCTCCAGGATACAGAAGTAAAATCGCACTGAGTCCGTCAGGTCCGCTGGTAATCTCGCTTCGCAATAGTATCATACAAAGTCAAGATTTAGCAGTACGTAGCATGACAAAAGCATCATCAAAACCAACGAAATTGAACAAGGGACCGCTTCTACAACTGCGTCTTTCAGCTCAAGGGGGTCGGTTTGATCCCAGTGATACGATGTGGACTCGTATCGGCTCTCTTAGGCGGATGGAACCTTGGAAAATTGCAGTTCTCTATCTGTGTGGAACTTTAAGTGGTGCTTTTGCGACGCTTTCGATGTTTTTGACTGAAAACGAGTTCGTTGCTGTCATTGCATTAGTGACAAGTGTTGTGTTTAGTGGAGTGTATGCTTGCTGCTGTCAGCGTCAATTATTTCTACAGATCTTGACGTCTTTCCACTTTATTTTCCTCTACACACAGATCGTCGCAATTGGCTTGTGCGTTGTTGATATGTTCAACTGGAATTGGGTTCCTGTTTGCGGTGTGGGCTCCAGTTTGTTCTTAACTTTTACAGTGTTGACTATTGACGCGCTTACTCCAATCATGAAACGAAGGCTCTGCTTATCTTACTGGTTTGTTATTGCAGCCGTTGGGCTCTTCTTGACGGTGCATTTGGCATTTCTTCTAGATGTTTTGGTACTCGGTCACTGGGCTCTTCAGGATAGAGTGTTTTTAACGATTGACCTTCTCGGTCAGCAAGTAGCGTTTTACGTCGTACCGACCTTACTTAGCCGCGTGATCACTGTGTTAGTTTGGTCCGGGCGCTTCGTGTACGTTGCGATTACACGCTCAGATGACAATGCGCTTGTTTTGCTTCGAGGTGACGTTGAATTTGACTATGAAGGTTGGCAGAAACAAACCCGTTTCAACGATTTATGAAATTAAGCAATCAAGTATATTCCTCGTAAATTTGTCACGCTAATATATGAGTCGGAGTTGTGGTTGCAACGATACAAAAGGACTTCAGCCGCTTTAGCCAAGGGCTTCAATTAGACGCAGCTATCTGAACTCTTTTTTCAGTGGCACGTGCAGAAATCCATTGGTATAAAATTCTATTTACAACTGGAAAACTGCCTCGACATCAGCACACGAAGTTAGTCAAAAACTTGCTAGTATTCTTATCTCCTATCCCACTCTGGAGGTTATTCAGCGATCTGTTGGCTATTAAACTCTGCTTATCCCTCAGTTCTCTACTCGCCATCAAGCAGCAACTACCGGTCAAAGCAAGAAAACTCCTTCAAAATGTTCAGCTCCTTCGCACCGTCAACGCTTTCATCTTCCACGCGGCAATTCAGTACTGCGATGCCACAATTCGACATCCCAGTGCTGCGAGCGGGTAAAGTTTCTCCTCCACGCCTCGTGATTCTCGGTCCGCCGGCCGGAGGCAAAGGCACTCAATGCGAACTCCTCGTTGAGTTGCTCGGAGTCGTTCACCTATCAACGGGCAACATCTTGCGTCAAGCTATCCAAGCCAAGACGCCACTAGGTCTCAAGGCTCAACAGTTTATGGACCAGGGCGAGCTGGTACCCGACGACCTCATCGTGGACGTGGTACTCGGTCGATTAGCCGAATCCGACTGTGTCACTCGCGGTTGGCTACTTGACGGCTTCCCACGAACCTCAAGACAAGCGGAGGCTCTACTAAAGGCCCAAGGAGGTAGGGCAGCTCCCGATTGTGTATTAGAACTGGAGGTTCCGGACAACGAAGTCATCCGACGTATTGCTGGAAGACGGGTAGACCCTGTGACGGGGAGAACGTACCACGTTGAGTTCAACCCTCCTCCAGTCGAAGTGGCTGGTCGTGTGGAGCAGCGAAGCGATGATACGGAAGCCAAGATCCGAACTCGATTGACCCAGTTCCACTCGAACGCTGAAGCTGTGCGATCGGCTTTTGAGACCTATCGTGGCGACTTTGGAGCGAGCATCCAAGTCATGAGAGCAAGCGGTTTCCAGGCCCCTCCAGCCATCGCAAGTGCATTCGCTGATTTCGCTTTGCAACACGCAGCTCAGCGCAGTCTCAATCTCATTCGACGGGATATCTCTAAGCGTTTGAGACGGAGACTTGAGGCGGGAGAACGAGGGGTGTATCACGTCTCGAATCCTCAGAAGAAGCCGTCGTACCCTGTCCGAGCTCACGTGCGAGCGCTACATGCCCCTCGTTTGATCCAGCATGAGCAGCGAGCTAACATTAAACCTGTCCGCGGGATGCTGCGTGAATTGCTTCGTCGGTTGCGCGTTGCTTAAGAAACTAGACATTCGATAAAGCTTGTATCGACACCATCATAGACGCCAATTTCCTTGTAACGTTAGTCCGTTGTGCCCATTGTCTCGACCGATTGCCAGCACTAAACGAACGGAACTGAGCTTCTCTGCCCCTTTAGGAAAAGGATTAGGAACGCGGCATCCTCGTCATGTTACTTGGCCAAAGTGCCTTGAGTGAGATTTTCCGGAGTTGTCATGGTCGCTGCTGACACTAGTACATATTACTAGTACATATTATTGTTTAATACACCTATGTAAGGGGGGGGGGGGGGGGGCAATTCTTCACGTGAGACTGTTCTCATTGAGGTGAAACATGTTGAAGTTTTTTTGCAAAAAGTCGAAGCAACAATTTTTTCCTTCGAATTTGAATTTGTTCGCCAATCAGAGACGAGTTGCAAGTTGAAGTGCAAAAAATCTTTTTTCTTTGTCAGAGTGACGGTCACGACCCGTTGACTCACGCCAGAATGCTAGATCGACATTCCTCATCCTAGAATGTGAATACTTCCAGCCGCGATAATCGTCACTTGAGACGTCGTTGGCGGTGATCCAGACCCCAGCAGGATAATTGTCACGACATTGAGACGACGTGAGAGCTTTCGCTGGCGGCTGCCTTGACGTTTGCTCGAGCTTCGCCAACAAAACGCGATTCCATTTTATTGCCCGTGAACTCGCGCCGCAACCTAAAACTGGAAACAATAGACACTTTCCAGAGAATTCCGCTAGCTAAGCCAAAATGCAAATGAAAAAGTCTCACAAAATTCTCGTTCGGGATGAGTCGCCAGAATTTTCCGTCGAGTTCTTCAAGGCAGCTGCATAGATCACGTCCACTAGAGTCACGACGGACGTGGCAAAAAGCCTGCATTCTGCCATTTGCCAGCCAACACTCAGCATGAACTCGATCAAGTCACGTCGCCGCTCGCTCTCGGAGAGCTGCAAGTTCGCATACCTGGCCACGCAGGCCGAGCACGTCGAGAAGCCGCATGCCTTCATGCTAGCGCCCGAGGAGCCCGTGGACGACCACCACCCGCTCGTGCTCTCGGTGCATCAGGGCGGAGAGAGCCTCGCAGCGCTGGAATATCGCTCCAAGTCCGAGAGCTTCATCTGCACGGCGCAGGGCATCGTTTTCCAGGACACCAAGTGCCAAAAGTACCACTCCAAGCTCGACAGACTCGTGGCATTGGCCAACTCGTCCAGCACGCAGAGCAACGTGCTGCTCGCCAAGAAGGCGCTCCGATATCGCAAAGTACTCGAACGCCGGTGCGTTAAGGCATGAGCGCGAAGTCTCGAGTCTGTCTGCGCCAGGATGCTAGAGAATGCAAGATCTCGCATGTTCCTCGTTTGAGTTGCTTGTTGAAGCAGCTGTCATGTTTAATGAAGTCTCACGAGCTAGGGGAGTGAGGATTCTTGATGTAGTTTACCGTATTGATGGAATAGCCTGTAGCTATATATTTAACGAAGAGAAAATCACAGCGAACAGCATGAACCTGTGGTAGTCTTGAATTCCAGCCAATGCAGTGGCGTAAAGTAGCTCGCACATCTAACGAGCTGCACGTTAAGACTTCAGAAAGAGTTATTATCAAGGAGAACGGTGAAGATATGCCGTGTCGCTCTTGGAGACCGAACTCCCAATGTTTACGACGCCCACACAGGCGAAAACGCAAGCGTTGGCTTTCTCTTCGGAGAAGGCGGCTAGTGGACAGTCTGAGAGCATCATACTGTCGTGCTCGGTTGCGCTAGACTCCTGATCGCGCCAAAACTCACCCCGAAGCTTTCGTTGTACACGAAGGGGGCTCGAGACCGCTTACGCTTGAGATTGAGCACGACGACGGAACTAACGCGACTCTCAAGAAGTAATGCTGGGTTGCGCGTTGCTGAGAGGCGGCGTGTTCGGTCCCATGCAGACTACGCAACTGGATGCTATGTGGCATCTTATCCTCCGACACTAGAAAACGTTCTTCTTTACGATATCCACAACTACTATTAGGTTTTGTACACAACTGTGTGTTCCATACACACATGTATCCATATCTATTTATTTCAACCAATCACTGATCACGGTTTCCACAATAGACACATTCAGTGGCGATGGAAGCCTGGGTGCGCGACAAGGTGTCGCGTCTGAACTTGGACGCCTCGGTCTACGTCGAGTACGCGCTCGGCCTGCTGCAAGATGAAGACATGGACGTTTCGGAGCGCGTGGCCAGCGTGATCGCCGTTTTCTCCGGAGCAGCGGACGGTCTTGTGGCCCAAGACGTTCTGGACCAGACTCTGGACGAGACTAAAATGACGCAGGACGTCGAGAAACTGCTCCAGGCTGAACAACAGCAGTCCCAACAAGAAGCGGAGCTCAGACTGGCTGAGAAGCAGATGAAAGACTTGCAGATCCGAGAGAAACAGCGTCAGGAGGCCGAGGAAGCGGCCGAGCGCGAGAGACAAAAGGCCGCCAATCGCCTAAAGAACATGACACGCGAGGAGATTGCAGCCCGTGAGCAACTTATCAGCAATTATGGCTTCACAGTCATGTCAGAGTTTGACGAGGAAGGCAACGTGGTAAAGATTAAGGACAAGGAGAAGGTTACGGAGGACGTGGGACCTGCTAATTCCAACAAACAGAGAGTGCAGCAGGCGCAGAACGCCATGCGGGAGAAGATGAAGAAGGACCACGAGAAGAAAGTCAAATACGAGAAGGAACTGTTGGCCAAGGATAAAGCTCGCAAGGACAAGGCCAAAAAGAGAACCATGAAGAAGGAGA